TCATTTGAACTGATTACTTTTTACATCGCATAAATTTAATTGGCAAAGTTAAAACTTTGTGTATTATTGTAGCGAGGAGACTTGCTCACTAAATTCCACCTCGATATCCATCAACCATTCTCGAGATTCAATTCTTGACTTTTCTATTTGCTCTAATCCAATTGATGAAGCTGCGATCATGGAAGAACAACTTGCTGCTGCTAGCGGGTATTTTTAGTAATTTTTAGAAAATTTACTACGTCAATTTCACTTTTAATCGTATTAACATTTGTATTATCTTTGTACTGTTGTCAGTCATTTTTGATAATTTTTAGTTTCATAATTACTTTTACAACTTTTTAATTTTGATCGCTTCTTTTCAAAACTTTTTTCAATTAATCCTTATTACTGTAATGAATTTTGAATACATAAAATTATTTCAAACTTATTTTTTGATTCCGAGAAGAAGTCGAAATATATTTAATAACTGTTTATTCAATATCTCATATTATTTTGGTCTTACTTTTCAAATAATCTATTTAAAATTATTAAAGCATAATTTTGAGGGATGACATTAAATATATGCAAGTAATGTCAATCTTAGTTTCGTGCCATAATTGCCATGGCAATATTTTAATTTCAATGAGTGTTTGCAAGATTTGAAAATGTAAACATTATTAGAAAGTTAAGTTAATAACCATCATAAATCAACGAAATATTTTCCAATATTAAGTACTATTTTTTCATTATTGTGTATTATTAAAAAAATTATAAAGCCAACAATGATCAATCAAATTAACTTTGAATATTCAATATATGCTATCTATTTTTATTCTGTATGTAAAAAATTAAAAGTAAGGGGAACCTCTTTTGATACTTTTATAAATTAATTATTTTTTTATAAGTTATCACTATGCATCATAATTAGCTAAATCTACCTGGCGCAGTCAAGATAACGTGTCTTTCAAATGTTTTTGCTATGAGAATTACGTATTTTTACGTAACCTATAAGCTATAAGTTGTTTTAGTTTTTAAAATTGTCATTATAATAAAAAGATTTGTATATCGTAAAGAAATGGCAATTATTTTGGACATAATCCTTTTGATATTTTGGGATTATTTATACAAATTCCAGTAATAATTGCAGTGAATTATTATTAAATGGTAATGACGCCGAGGTACGCAGCTGTGCTAGGCCGACTTTAGCCTTGGATAACTCTGCCAAGGACACGCGGTCAAGAATAACTTGTTTGGATGACAATTGTGTTGCCTCGACAACCAAAAATAATGTTTCTGAGATGATGCAATCAATACTTACACCTTTACATCACGTAGTGCCTCCCATTGCAAGTCTCGAGGATTTGACCAATGGCGAGCAAAGTTTTGATATCACTAGTTCGAAAAGTCATGTCGCTTCATCTACGTGGAATCAAATAAAATCCTTTGGTTATCGATTGATTGAATTTATAAAACTATTTATGATCAATTTTTGCAGTTATTTGTTAACGACAACTTGTTGATTAACTTTCAAACTATTTAATGCCTTCGTTACTTTGTCAAATTTTTATGTTTGAAAAATTTAAAGATATGCAAAGTTTTATTCATGGGGTTAAACTAAACTTATAACATGCTTATTAACATGCAGAATTTTACGACGTGGCATATTTATTATCATCAAGTTTGGAATTTATTATTTAGTGTTAAATAGTCGATAGCCACTATAATAGAATGACATAAATTTCATGAGTGAAAATTTAACTTACGTTTTACACTGCTGAAAATTTATGCACGTTAAGTTTGAAATTTGGGATTGTTATTATTGATTACCGTGAGAACTTTAGAATTATGATCAGCTGATTAAAAATGCTGAAAAAAGAATATATGATATGAAATAAGTAAACTAGTGTACTAATGATTAAATAATAATATTTGAAGGACAAAAATCAGCTGGAAAAAGCGATATAAATACTGCTGTCAACAACAGCACTGATAATAATGATAATACCGATGATAACAACTATAATATTGGCAAAATTACCGGAGGAAATTGCAAAAATAATCAGCGACAAACATCAACAGCAATAAAACGCTACATCTTGCATACCGGTTAGTCCCCTCACTTATTTGCATTCTCAGTCATTCAACTGATTATCAGCTGCAGTTATTTTCCTCCTTCTTATCAGTCTTTCTGATGCGTGGCTTCACAGTCTCACTTCAAGAACTAATAATTACACTATTAGTAATATTTTCTACTGATAAAGTAATATTTTGTTAGCAGCTAACAATTTATCAGTTTGCATCTGTCTAACTTTCTTGCACACTCTACGATATTTGCACGGAAATTCAGCTTAGTATTACAAACATCGATGTATTGCACAACTTTTCCAGCAAAGTTTATATTTTTTACGAATTTTTATTTTTATTTTCAGCACTTTTTTTTCGTCCTAACTTCTTGCTAGTATTTGAGCTTGATTTGCTGGAAAGTTTTTTTTTCAATCCAAAATGTTTATAATTTTAGCTCAAAAATGAAAAAAGGATTAGGGTAATTTTATTGGAGAATACAAGTTACTGTATTACTACAATTGCGTACTGTTATATAAATAAGTCAATGTTATAAATTAGCACTGACCTTTTCAGTGAGTTCAAATGCAAAAGTGAATTGTATTGCAATCTCCAATTTATTGGAATTTCAAATGTTACAAGTTGGAAATCGTTCTAATTGTTAGTCGAAATTCAATTGAAGACGTTACATTTGTTTGCAATCATTTCTGAAATTATGCATTTGCATCGTGAAATTCCAGTTTTGTTTGCTAAGCAAATACTCTCTCAACATCTTCAGATGAATAAGTATTCTCATTTTCAGTACTTTTACTGATAGCTAAACTTATTGTTATTTATCACATTTTATACTGAAAGTTATTAATTTAGTCATTACTACGATTATAGCTCTATCAATTATTGCCGTAATTACTGTAGTAGCTATCGGAAATCCGTTTTCATTTTTGTGATTTTATTACTCTGTCAATTATTAGGAAAGTAGTAGTCAACCGCTTTTGTAATGGAATATTATAGTCTCTGTAGCACTGTGAGATCACTGTCATTACTGTAATCTTTTTTATTACGTGTTAAAAGGGTAGTATGAGATCGAGATTTAGAACCATTATATATTTTCAAAAATTTGTATCCTTTAAACATTTTGGGTAATGCATATGTTAAGAAAATGTATTTTAATTACAACAATTTTTTGATTAAATTCACAAAATCAATATTAAATGAGAATCGGATAAAGTTGTTCAGTTTAAGCCCTGTAAAGAAATTAACTCTGCTTAAATTGAATTTATATTATTAAGTAAGAATAGTCTATTGAAATGAAGTTTTAATTTAAATTTAATAAGTAGATTCAGCTTTTATGATTGTTTAACCTTGCACTGATTGATGAAAATTAGCTAAGACTTATATACTTTTTAGTATCAAATTATTCTTGCTGTGTAGTATTATTTGATTTTTGGTAGGAGAACATGATCTTAGCACATATAATTCGGATGAATATAATCTATACAAGTATAGAATTATTACAAAAATATAAGTACTGTTGTAATAATAGAATAGATCAAATAAATGGGTAGTATATAAACTTTTGGTTTCAAAATAATAAGATAAAATATGATTAAACATATGGTATGATTGAGAATTTAAAATGTTATGGGACTGAAATAGCACTAAAAATAATCATTTTATCGATAATTTTATTTTAATAATTTATTAATTGAACTCGCTTTCAAAAAAGGAAATATTAACTGTTTCCTCCGGAAATTATTCGAGTTTCAGTCCTTGTTTTCATTTCTATTACGACTACTTATACTAAAATAAAATATTCCAAAAAGCTAAACAAATATTTAAAATTACTTTCGAAAGTTTTTCTTCACATTCTTATGCACTTTAGTTACTATTCATAATTTTTTAAATTATTTTACTGTATTTTGATTCTGTCACGTCACGTTTTATTCCTTCATCTGATATTATCAGTGCTATTGTTGAATTTTTGACTTATTAAAGTAGTGAAATTTGATTTGGTGATTTTTTCAAATAATTTTTATAGGAATGTCAAATCCACCATCAATGCCACCACCTCCACCACCGCTACCACCACTTCCACCACCATTACCACCTCCACCAGTGCCAAGGCCTTCATCTCAGTCTTCATCTCAAAGGGTAAATTTCATGAATTTTTCAAAATTCTAATCAAATAGTAATCAGTATAAAAACATTAGACATCGATTCAGTCCAAACCTTCATGTAATCTTGTGCATAAATTCCTTACTCTTTAGCTTATCTCCTCACTAAAATATAAAGTATCAAATGACGCTTGCTTAAAATGTAAATGAAAAAATTGCATTGCTCCAATTTTCTAAGACTTCAAAATTTTTCTGTTAATAATACTGACTACCGTAAGCTGCTGGTTTCTGTTCTGATTGCATATTTGATTAGATTTTAATTTTTCATGCAAAATGTGAGTATTTATCCAAGAATGCCAATTAAATCAATCCTAATATTTCTACCGCCTAGTATTTTATTAATTATTCGATTACTCAAATATTTTTTCTCATGTTCTAAATTATTTCTCTACTTTTATACTTATTAGCATAATTTATTAAATTCAAATTATTTGAATTTATGTATAAAAATATAATATCATATTTCAAATACTCGCCTCTTTATTGTACGTTGTGCTGTATTTGAACAGATGCGATCTCAATGCATACCAGTTTCACTGCTGGCTATTTTCTAATTCAACATTTGTGTGTTTTAAAGATTTTCAAAAATAATTTGTATGTTTTATCATTTACAAAAATCAAACTATGGAAAGGATTTATGTAAATTTTGAATTTTTACATTGTTTTAGTCATTTATTGAAAAGTAATTAACCCTTTGAAAATATTACTTTTTTTTTCCCACATTCGATATAACATTCAAATCACTTTCAAATATGCAAAAAAACAGTGGAGGAATTCTTAGACACAAATATCAATTTGTTATTTATAGTAAACTGATATTTCTATTAAAGTATGCGTCATTGCCAGAAAGTGCTCATACTGATAAGAACTAAAATATCATATATCAATTACGTATTTTCGATTTTTGAAGTTTAATTCTTCAGATCATTATAGTTTGAGTTAAATTCTTCAAATCATTGTTATATTAGTAACTAATCATGTGACTGACAGATCTACGTGAATTTTACGTTTGACTTTATCTATTTTTTTTGTGATATTTTCAATCAGAAGAAATTGCATACGTGACAGTGGGAAGTTATACATGCAGTATATACATAGGTTATCATAGTAAATATTTTGCTCTATTAATTATAAGACTTAAAAATGTCACGTGACTTTTTCTGCTCATATTGTCATGAATTAACGTCAAAAGTATGACTTTGAACTAAATTTTACATGCAAATTTCTTGTGTGGAAAAAGTGAAAAAAGATTCTTTTGAATGTTTTTGAAAAAAATATTTATCTTTTGTTCTATTATTTTTGCAATCAGCATATCTTTAAGATTTTCAAACGTATCTTACGTATATTTATATATTTTTACGTGAAATATTGAAATAATACATGCAAGTAAAACTGTAGTTTTGTGAAAGTAGCTATACTTGTTATCAAAAGGATGAGGTTTTGTATAAGAATATAAATTGCATGACGATAATTTTCAACGCTTGAATCATCATTTCGTTCCCTTTGCTAAAAACTTTTATAGTCATCTTTTGCTTTGGCATTCTTATTTTTTCACATTTGCAATTATTATTCACATTTCTATGCTTAACTTTTTATTATTCCAAATTTAAAAAGTTATACAAGTTAAGAGGACAAATACGTCATGTCACGTAACGTTTACCTTCTTTTTCTCACTCATATTCATGTCTCAACTTTTGCTAAATACAAACTTTGTCGAAGTTATGTTTGATGTTTAATCTTATTTTTGATTAGCATTTTTCAAATTATTTGAAATATTCCTTACTATTAGCATATTTATCAGAAATAATCTCTTTCAATTTTATTCTATGTATTAATATTTTTTGTTAACTTCACTCTTTATTGAATCTAAAAAAATATTTTTCTGCTAAAAAGTTTTATTGCTTTTGAAAAATTTTATATGTAATGGGATTTAAGGTTCGAAGGCAAATGAAAATTGTTTGAGTACTATTGGCTTAAAATATGAATTCAAGTTCAAAGTTCAGTTAAAAATTATGCAAGTGACACGAAATAATAAACTTAAGCATCCATAGAATATTTCATTTCAGTTCTGCTAATCATTTGTAATTAATTGTCATTTTCTGAAATATTTTGCACGAAAGTACTAATTCAGGTTTAAGGAAAGTTTTTTAAAGTGTTATTTTATTGGAATAACTTTTTCGCTCATTAATTTTTTCTTATAAATTTTGCTACTTTTCATCACAAATTAGTACAAGTTTTATAATAATTGCCATCAAAATTAATGAAGTTCAATTTTTTGATTTCGATTATTTAATTAATTTTTCAATTTAAAAAATTTATTCATTTATTTCTTCACTTACTTATTTACATTTGTGTTAATGTAACTAAAAGAATTATGCATTATGCATTTCATTTTTCAGACAAAATTATGAATGCATGAAAGGTTTACGTCAATTACTTGCTTACTAATTAGTCATAATAGTTTTTTTAATAATTGGAGATCAAAAATTAATCGTTTCGAATATTTTTTAAAAAATATTAAAAGTTTTATTAATTTGAACGAGAAATTTGATCTATGAATATGGTATTCAAAAGTCACGACTAAAACTAGTCATATTTTTTCCAACAATACTTTGCCAAAAAAAAATCACTTTTGAATAAACTAAAAATCGAGTTTATAATTTTGCAAAGATTAGCAATGTATTGTAATCCACAATGTATTTACAAAAGTATTGAGAGTAATGAAATGAAAGTTTATAGCACATTTATTTGATTTCAGCGATATTTTATTCAAACACTTCTTTTTGTGTAGATATTTATTAATTGTGTTAACAAATTAAAATTCCGTATTCATTTTTTACTTTTAAATTTTCTTCTTTTCTTGCACAATGTTACCACTTTTTTATTTGCTACAACTTATTTAGACGAGAAAAATACTCAAACTTCTTTAGGAGTTAAAAAGTTTGAAATTTATTAATGTTTGTATAAATTTTGCTAATGAAAGAAAACATTTAAAGCTTTTTTTATATTTTTAAAATTATCAGCTATTAATTCAGTATGATTGCTTTGTTCTGAAAAATAAATTTAGTAAAAATGAGGAACAGAAAATTTGAAATATAAAATACAAATTATTTATCTTCTGATTTCAAATTATCCTCCAAAAATCAAATTTGATTTTAACAAAGAATCTCGGAAATTAATCAAAATTTATCATTCACTCTAAATACTTTTAGCAACAATGTTGGAAAAAAATTAGCCTGAAGAATTGCAGTGCTAAACCGCTCTTTTTATTCTAAAACGAAATTATTATTTTTAAATTTTGAAAATCCAATTTTTTTCTGAATATCAAAGTAAAAAAATAAAAGTATTGGTATTAAATAGCTATAATACATAGAAAAAATCTATAGCAATGATAACAATATCAAAATATTAATATTGAATTTTTGTAGCAAATTAAATATTATTTCTTATAAAATGTGTTTAAGTTTATATTACCTAAAAAAATTTGAAATAAAGCAAAACTTTTCTATCAGTAGAGGAAATTACAATATTATGGTGCTAAACAGTACGATAGTTACAGATGTGATAAGAAATGGCTTACTTGAAGATGTACTTCCGAAAAGTATTAATTTCTAAGCAAAAACAGCTAATAATTATTATATATTCGATGACAAAATTCAGACAGTATTGAAAATATATATTTAGTACAGAATGTGAACGGCATACAATATGAGTATAGTGAAATATAAATGATATTAAAACACAATTATATATTTATCAATGATAATTTTATCCATCTAAGGATCACAGTATTTTCAGTTTTTAATATAAAATTTGTATTGCTGTATTCAAATTATGTTTAAAAATTAAACAAAGTTTCAGAAGCTATAGAAATAATAAAGTACAAAATTAAAAATTGGAGTTAATGAAATGAAAATTTAAAAATCAAACGTTTTTTGTAATAATTTTTTCTTCTTTACCATACATATTTAATCATTTCATATTCTTTTCCTTCTGCACTTTACTCATAAATTGGTACTTAAATACTTGTTGTGCTACCACGATTGTCTTTTTGCTATTCGTTTGCTGTTTTTATTTGAATAATAATAACAATTTTCTGTTTAAGTTATTATTTTTATTAATATTATCAATTTAATACTTAAAATGTGATAATTAATTTTTTAATAAGATCATTCAAATTGAAAGTGATAATTTTTTTTCTGAGTATTATTACTTTTCTAAAACTTATTTTGATATAAATTAGAATTAATTACAGTATTTGTAGTATAAAATTAATGCATTCAGTAATGGTCTTTTGTTGTTATTGTTATTGTTTTGCTTCATTTTATAAGTATTAGATAATTATTATTTGCTTTTAGTATGAATATTGTTGTTTTCTTATTCAATACTTTAAAGTGAAGTTTGCGTATTTATATTATTCATAACATAGATGATATTCATTGCTGTGGTAAATATTTGAGCATGCTGTTGGTCAGTGAAGGGAGAAGGACAAGTAGTTAACACTAGAATAAAGTTTATGTCTTTTATTGACACTTGTGAAAATTCCTCAATAATAATAGTTGTTATCATCATCATCGTCGTCATCACTATTACCATCACATCACCATCACCATCACCATCATGATTATAATAATCATCATCTTGATCATCTCCATCACTTTTATATTCATGATCACATTTTGATGACATCCAGTACTTCATCTATTTTCATTTACATCAAATTCTTGCCCTTTTCTGAACTTTCGTAGAGCGTTTTATGCCTTTTGGCAAACTTCAATTCACTGCAAAATTTTTACTTCAACTATTTATTATTCTTCATTTGAACTGTAATAAAAATTGCTTATCAATTCAACTAATATCCTTTTTGTTATATTTTTTATTGTCAATATATTATTAAAATGATTAATAAGATAAAATGCTATTATTGTTATTACTCTTATTATTGCCAGCAATACTTGTATTACAATCTATTACTTATTTTATTGTTGACAAAAATTCTGTAAACTAATTTTTTCAAATAACAAAAACAATTTTTATAATTTTATTAGCTATTTTTGATTTCTGTAAGCATTATTGTTCTTTATTTGTCACTTTTGCTTGCATAATTATGAATTTTAGATAATAGTTAATTGGTATTTACTATTTTCATTAGCAATATTATTGCTATCATTACCGCTTCTCCGAAATTTGTATGCTTAATTAAGTGATTGCTTCTAATTTGTCACTTGCTACTTGATATTTTCAATATATTATCAAAATGATTGATAAAATAAGTTTACAACAAAGTAATTTTTTTAATAATTTGGAAAAAAAA